GTTTTATGATCCAAAATGAGTACAAGAAGTTTACCTCAATAATCACCTCGAAAATCTTCTCCAACATCGCCTAAGTCCGAGTCCAAAATGTTGAAATAAGACTAAAATCGCGAACCCTTGCTTTTAAACCTTCTGCCCAGACTTTTCGCACTTGTGGCCATTTATACGCACTTGCGGGGCCGCTTCTGCGGAAACATTCCCGCTCCTGCGAAAGTCACTTATCCGCTACCTCCGCTTCTGCGATCAAAGGACCGCATCTGCGCCTATCGCAGGTGCGGGAAACCCATCGCACCTGCGGCTCGATCTTGCTCCTGCGCCCACATGCCCGCTTCTGCAGCCATCGCATGTGTGGGAAAATATTCGCACCTGCGACCTTTGCTTAACTCATCCTTGTCCGCTTTTGCGGTTTCTTCCCCGCTTCTGCGGGCTCGCACCTGCGGTGCCCACTCCGCAGGTGCGGTTACACTAGTAGCAGCATCTCTTCAGCTGCTTCATCAACTCAAAATCAAGTCCGTTAACCACCCAAAATCAACCCGAGGCCCACGGGACCTCAACCAAACATACCAACTAGTCATATAACCCAATGAGAACTTAGTCGAAACTTTAAATCATCCAAAACAACATCAAAACATATATTACACCTAGATTCAAGCCTAAAGAACTTCTAAACTTTCAAATTTCACAAACGACGCCGAAACCTATCAAACCACGCCCGATTGACCTCAAATTTTGCACACAAGTCCTAAATAATACCACTAACCTACTCCAATTCCCGGAAATCAAATCAGACCCCGATATCAAAATTTTCACTACCGGTCAAATTCGCCAAAATTTTAACTTTCGCCAATTCAAGTCTAATTCTACTATGAACCTCCAAATAACACTCCGGACATGCTCCTAAGTCCAAAATCACCCAACGAAACTAACGGAACTCCATTTTGGAGTCGTCTTCATACAGTTCTGACTACGGTCAAAATTCTAAGACTTATGCTTCCGTTTTATGGACTACGTATCCCAAAACACTCTGAAACCAAAAATAGGATCTCCCGACAAGTCACATAAGCAAAAACAGACACGGGAAAAGCAAAAAATAGGGGATCAGAGCTATTACTCTCAAAACGACCGCCGGGTCGTTACACTTTTTTCTCAATTTATTCCCAGGTTGTGCAACCTTTTGAATACCAGAATGCCATCCGTTTTGACCGTAAGGTAGTAAAAATAGATACTGCAAAGGGTCATAACAACCGTAATAGTAATTTACTAGCTGACTCTTGTTACTCTGAGTGTAAAATTCGGATATGGGGTCCAGAAGTGTTATTGTTTATTTCTTGTTCTAGCCATAGTGCCGCTACATCTGACACAGTTGGTATGTTATATATTCGTTGATCTAAGCCAGAACCACTCCTCAATGCAATATACAAGTTTGATAATTCTGAAATATGTATTAGAGATTTCAAGAAAATATAGTAAGGATTTATCTTCAGTATATCTGTTAACTTCTCAACAACTGATTGTCTAAGTATACTTGAGGAAGTCATTCGATTCAACATTTCAGTATTATCATCATAAAAATACAGTTGTAAATTTCTTGGATGTCGATTTGATGGAATTAAATCATTTATGAAGTGATACGTTTGTCCTTGTACTTTAAATGTGTAAATTTCATGGTTTCTTTTCGCTAGCGCCTTGTCATAGTACACTCCAAGTGAAATAAACGCAAACATGTTATTGTACATTCTAAGGTAAGTACGAAAGTGCTCAGATTCTTGGCTAAATAGAGATTTAATAGTTCAGCAGGCATTTCATGGAATGCCAACTTAACCGAACCTTTGCTACAACAAAATTCTGGAGGTTCATATTCAATTTTTTTGGCACCACAGTACTGACAGTTCGGAATCTTTTTTCGAGCAACATAGTCACGTTGTTGCTCTTTAGTATCCAGGCATACCTTTCTGGTCCGGTTATTAACCGAATATGTAAGAAGTATCATTAGGGAGAAATGGATCACTAAGGAACATATATGGTAGATATTATTGTAACATGACGTATGCGTAGACTCTCATGGTTTATATCAATGTACAGTTAATATGTCATTGCCAACAAAGTATAATATAAAGGCTAAGTTTACCTGTTTCACGAATGGTAGGAGCATCACATATACTCTTCCTTTTTTTTAAAATTACACCGCAATTTAGGCGCATGAGCTTCAAGGCTAGTAGCTGGCAAACAAAAAATTATCAAGATGTTTAAAAGCGAACAATGAAGCCTGAGTAGGTACAGAACTTATCAGGAATGAGCACAAAGTATTTATGTATTTTATCTTATAGACACATTTAAGATAAATAACATATAACATTATTCCTTCGAAGGGAGTAGAAATGAATATCTTTATAAGATCAAAATCGAGGAAAACCTCTATTTTTAACAGCCGACGACTCTGCATCGTGTCCCTCACAAGGTACACCATATGTCGAACCTAATGTACAAAAAATTCTAATAAATGTATTAAAGTACAATAAATTTAAAGTGAAACAATATACTTTCTGTTACTTACCAAGTTCAAACATAGATAAATAGTCAGTAACATTCTTTTCTTTATTAGAATCGACTGCTACCCCGTCAAATGCAAATATATAAACTAATATAGGAAGCAAAACAAATTTAGCATTAGAAAATTACATGTAAGCACTATCATCAAAATAACACATATTTTCATGTAAGAACTATACCTTCTTTTGGTTTCGTACCTGTGTTACCAACAGAAGATGGCTCGTGTATCGTGATAGTTCTTTGCCTACGCATGTTTGCCCCAGCTTTGAACAATGACTCTTCTTCAGTGTAATCAATCAGTACGTGCTGTTTTTTTGCCTCAAGCTCTTTTAGTCGTCGCTGTGATAGAAGCGACTCTTTTTTATCAACTGGTAACTGTTTGTACAGGTCACGTCTCCTAAGCTTGATTTTAGACATTGTTTCTGCTGAGTACCGACACTTCTTTTTTGGTGGGCAGCTAGTTGACTCTTTGGTTTTATTGTCTGTCGACATATGTAATTTGAACAATTTAAATAAAAAGGTAACTAATCTTTAAGAAGAAACCCAGGACGATCTTATCATACTATTGTGCTTACCTTCCAACGCATTGATAGTCAAGGTTAAGAAAACAAAATCAAGACTTACTTTGAATCATTTTATTGTTATGAAACTTCCTGATCCTTATTTCGTATTCATTAGTCTCCAGAAATCACTAATTTTTCCCATTTAAATTCTATTTCATATTATTTTGCCAATTAGATTTCGAAAACCTGAAAATTTGCAAGGTATTTTGTTTTCTTTTTAAAAAAAAGATTATCATATCAAGGAAATTCTAGCCTATTTGGAATATACATAATTTTTTCTATGTTGGCATACTTACTCTGTAACTAAGTAGAGAAAAGATATAACAAATATTGTAACATGATAGACACAACGAGTAGATATGATTACTTATTTTCTACCAGAGAATAAAGGATAATGTTCTGTTGCACAACTCACTAACTCAGTAACTTCATATCGGATCTAAGACAGTGGAATATGCGTTGTATTGAAGAGGCAATGTATGACATTTGACGAATGCATTTTAACTTAGATTTTAGATCAACATATTCATATGGTCCTTTATTGGTATGTTTGATGAAAGTTTCTATGTAGGTTGGAGTCTGATTGGTATTTCCATTGTTTGCTTCTGGTTTAAATTTTAACTTTATCACTGGGCGAAGAGGTTCTTGCTACTGTAGCAATAAATATCATGTGAACGATTTTTTTTAGATATATCAATAAAGTTCTTAGAGGATATTATACACACCTAAAGAAGCAAAAGGCAGAAGCTAGTTTGATCATGTCAACTTTTTTCAATTTATTTAATGATGACTGATATTAAAGATGATTTTTTTTATTAGTTCACGATGATTATGATGTTTCTTAATTTACTTTAGCCTCTGAATGGGTAAATTCTCTAATTTGATCTTACGTTCAAGGTTTCATATAGCCTCCCTTAAAAGTAAGCTCACGACATTGATATTGACAGAGGGAGAAAAACAAATAGCTTGTGGGCATCGGTAAAGTACTCATTTGGGCACAAACAAAGAGACCCGCAGCCATTCGAGAAGAATCTTACTCCCTCCGTTCCAATTTATGTGAACCTATTTGACTGGACACGGAGTTTAAGAAAAAATAAAGACTTTTAGAATTTATGGTCCTAAATGAGTCAAAAATGGGCCCAGAGTATTTGTGTAGTTATAAAAGCTTCTCAATAAGAGTAGAATTGTAAGTTTAAACAAAATTATTTCCAAATTTAGAAAGGGGTCATTCTTTTTGGAACGGACCAAAAAGAAAATAGGTTCACATAAACTGAAACGGAGGGAGTATCATACTGTGGTGCTTACCTTTCGATGACTCGATACCCAAAGTTTTACCTTCGGACACGACTACTTTGTAGGAAAATAAAATAAAAATTTTCTTTGGAAATCTATCCCACACTTTTGTAATTTCAGTAATCATATGAGTTTTATGTGAAGTGTACCAATTCAATGTGTACAAGATGTAATCAAATTTGACCATAATACATTCAAGAACCCAAAGAAAGACCCTTCATCGGTCTATTCAAGAACCAACAAAACCACAAATAATTTTATTCATATATGTTCAATAAAAACAGACTAAACAGGAAGCAAAGCAAACAGAAAAAGGACAGCACAATATTACAGAAAGACTCACCAGAAGTATTGATATTCACAGAAGGAGAATCCAAGAGAGAAATCGAGAATTCTTGAAGAAAGAAGTACAACAGGGAAAGACGATACTGCAGAGAAAACAACAATTGGAGAAGAAGTACAATAGGGAAAGACGATGAAACAGAGTAAAGTAAAATGAAATCGGGTGATGGTAAAAAGGAAGACTTTATTCGGAAAAGCATACTGAACTCTGAAATATGAAATCATCTTGAAAAATTATGACTATCAGAGAATATGCGTGCAAAAACCGATTCTTCTTTCTGTGAATATTTGATGCAAATTGGAAATGGTAAAGAAAAGACAAACATGAATGACAAAATAAAAATTTTGAGGTCTTTCATTGTTCTTTATATTACTGAAAACGAATCGTTGGATCTCTTATTCAAGATAATATATCCTGATTTGCATACTTCTTATCATGATTCTGCTTTTTTAACTTCTCGTGTTATTTTGACGATCAAAAATGACTTTGTTGATGAATTCAATGATAGGCTTATAGCCCAATTTCCTAAAGATGCTAGAATATTTGTTGCAACTGATGAAACTGTTGAACCGGGTGATCAGAGTCAGTTTGAAGATTTTTTACACTCATTGAACCCTGCTGGTTTACCTCCTTACAAATTAACCTTAAAAGAAAATTATCCTGTTATGTTGCTACGAAACTTAAATCCTTGTAAAGGTTCGTGTAACGGTACACGACTCATATGCTGTAATTTTAAGAGTCGTGTTATAAGCGCTTAAATTGCGAGTGATGATTTTAAGAATACACATGTATTTATTTCCAGAATACCATTGCTATCATCAGACGATGAGAAGTTGCCTATCCCATTTAAAAGAACACAATTTTCATTACGCTTGTGCTAAGACGATAAATAAAACGCAAGGACAAACATTAGATTATGTTAGAATTTATTTACGCGAGCCACTATTTTGTCGTGGACAACTATTTATTGCTTTATCAAGAGCAAAGAGTTTAAGCTATATAAAAATATTAATCTGACCACCTACAACAGATAATGATGATGACCAGTCTACATATATATGTTATATGATGAAATCATTCAAAAAGCTCTTCTATAAGTTTGTAGCTCTCTTGTTTATGTTTCTTGGGTAGCCATATATTCGTCTTGCTGACTGCTGGTGATCATTCACTAATTCTTAGAAAAAGGGGAAACAACTTATAATGTTCTTTGGTAATTGTTGTACTTATTGTTTATTTCAATAATTCTCCTGGAGCTTGAAATAATTTCTCTGCAATTTGGTATCCACTAAATAAGAGTTAGCTTGTATACTTGTAAATCATTGCTAAACTTTTACTGTTCTCATATAGTTATTTGATGCACAATATATAGACAAAAATATCTACATTAAGAAAATATCCATATTAACCAATCCAAAATTGCAAAGTTTAGTACATATTTTTGCAATTTTTATTAAACTCTATGAAGATGACCAAGCCGATCCTTATCTCAAGAAAAAAATTACGTTTTTAACTTCGCCCGTGTTTTTTAAGAGTCTAACAAATATAGTTTGCAAAAGATATTCACTTTGATGGTTTAAACCACATCAATAATATATTACATTCTATAGGGCATGATATTAACGAATTCAACCTTGTTTCAGAGACTATCAGATCTTCAAAAATGGCAAATGAGGCGAAAGAAGTATATTTCGAAAGAAACATCATTATTAGGAATGAAGATTTATTGTTACATAGAAAATTAAATATTGAACAAAAAAAGGCATACAATTTAGATATTAAATGGAGGCACTCAATAAATTATTTTTTTAGTTTGTCACGCCCCGAACTTGTGGGCGAGACCGGCACTCGGTGCCTCAGTTAACCTAGCGTACCAATTTGCGAATGGGGGACTCTGAACATACAATGTCATATAGTGGACATAGGGCCACATTGCAAGACAGTTTGTGAAACAAAATATTAAACTGAAAGGAAACTAGCTCTGACTGAACATCAATATAAATCTAGGCCGACAAGGCCGCCATAACTACTACAGCTAACAAACCAACAAAAATATACATACAAGGCCTACAAGTCCAACATACTGCACTAACTGACATGATATGTCTACAAACCTCTACTTATGGATGTACTGTGGTCGGAACAGGGCCGTGACCTACCCATAATATATATATATATATATATATATATATACACACACACACACACACACAGAGACACACATAATATTTATTCAAAACCCTAGACCCGACAATTCCGAAGGACGTGGAGCTTACCGATCAAGCTAATCACGAACAGCACCTACGGAGGAGGTCTATCAGGCTATCTATCCGAACCTGTATGCATGAAATGCAACATCCCTAAGAATGGGACGTCAATAAGAAATAATGTACCGAGTAAGTAAGGCAATAGAATAACTGAAAGCTGAAACTAAACTGATAATATAATAACTGAAAGTAACTAGGAGTCAAAGATGATCTGAAAAAATACTTACGTGCTGATACTGACTCAACTTTCTCAATATAGTAAGTACAATAGTTGCCCTGGCCTATAAGGCTCAGAACATGTAACTGCTCTGCTGTAGTAGGCTCGCTCATAGGCGCTCCGCCATACTAGAATCTGTATCTCGGCCATTCTGGGCTCGTTCATAGGCGCTCGGTCACAGTAGGCTAGGTATATAATTTACCATCTGATTAGAGGTTGCCCAATAGGAGCCTGCCACCGATTATAGCTCGGTGGTGGTGAAAATACCATAATAATATATATGTATAGACCCTTTACCCTCTTGACTGAAAGAAGATATACTTAATTGAATAAGTCCCAATAAGTGAGAATACTGTAACTTCTGAGACTAGGATAATGTGAATAAATTCAGGAATATAAACTTCTCTTTATGTCTCGTTATCAAACACATGTAGTTACGAGATCATACCAAAATGAAGAAAATGTTTAGCCTTAACATACCTTATTACAATCTTACTAATCACCAAGTTTAACTCACCCCTTATCACCTTAATCTACAATAACGATAATAATACTATTATTAAATTACGAAAGGTACAACTATCGCACAGCAACGACAAGCTTATTTTGTGTTAAAACGGGCAACATCTCCCCTATAATCCTTACTTACTCCAAATTCAATATAACACCAAAAGTACAACAACACAACAATAACAATATATATACATTATTTCAAAGCTTATATACACCACAAAATACTACAAAGCAGCCCAATATACCCCAATCTCTTCATACACAAAACAACCACCGTAGTAGTGTCAAATAGCCCGAAAATATTACGACGAATGACAAGCCCACCACCCTGAATTTATGTGGTATTTATCCACACTCTTTCTCCTCCAAAACTCCATAAAACAGTAGCAAAACAACGCACTCCAACAGCAATACGAAACAATCCACAAAATAGTCCGCTACAAATGAATAACTCGAAGTCACAAATTCCGATCACCGTCCCGCGAGTTCTTACAATCATAGAACGATTTTCCATAAATCTCCAGCAGAAAAAAATGGATGAAAGAGAACAGTAAACTTACCTTATTTGTTGAATAACTCAGCTCAAATCTTGGTTCTTCAAACTCTAGGTTTTTCTCCAACTAGAACTTGAAAATGAGAGAAATTCAATTAGGTTTATGTGTAATTTTTGGGAGGATTTTTGCAAAGGTTTAGGTCTGGTTATTATGCCCTATTATCAGTGTAATATATGAACAAAATAGGCCTTTAAAATGTCTCTTTGGATGACCTGAACTGGCCATTTGTGGACATATATAATCCTCTCATTTTAGCAAGTAGGTGACACACCTACTCGTCACCTAGCAGTCTGCGCAGTCTTGTAAAAATGCATATCTCTCTCTACTCTAATGTCTTATTGACAAACGATTTAATGAGTTAGAAAATAGACTCATAGATCTTCAATTTGATGGGTAGAACACCCCGTAATTCTAAGTATATTGGGAGCAAATCGTAGTTACATTTGACCCATATTTCCGTAAAACGTATGAACGTAACATGTGATGTCTTTCATCGAATTTTGTTTTACAACTCGCTTGACGTCAAATCTTAACACATGACTATCATAAAACTAAAATAAATCATAACATAACTCTCTTATCATGATAATAACCCTATCTTACCCCAAAGGTATGGGTTATAACATTCCCAACTTATCGACTCTCGACGAACCATTATTTTTTTCAGTTTCTCTAGCTTCTGAACCTTCCAACCCTCTTTGTACTTGTTGTTCATGATCTTCAATATTTTTAACCTCCGAGGTAGAATAATAACTTACTTTATATACTTTTAAAGATTATCACATTCTTGGTCTTACGTTAGTTTTCTTACGATGCACTTTTACGTTTGAAAATATGGGGTGTAACATCATTCCTTCCTTAGGAACATTCGTCTTCGAATGTTAACTCTTAGAGACTTGGGAAAATTTTGCCAAAGTCTTCTCCGTACACTAGACTAAAACCAACCTGCATGCAACCAGAAAACATACTATGCATGCCATACATGGCCAATGTCTATAAATAGCAACACTTTTCCTCATAACTACTGAAAGTCAAGAATAGGAGCTTACCTGATGACCTACTAGCCTGAATAGAATTGTGCTGAAGTATCCCATCTCGAGCCATATATTCAGTTTGAAATAGGTGGGGATATTTAGACTTCATTTCTTCCTCCGCTTCCCACGTCATCTCTTCCACGTTCTTGCTTCTCCATAAAACTTTCAAGAAGGCTACCTCCTTATTTCGTAGCTTGCGGATTTGTCAGTCTAGGATGGCAACTGGAACTTCCTCGTACGATAAGTCCTCAGTGATATGTACATCATCAATTGGCACCACTCGGGTAGGATCGCCAATGCACTTCCGTAGCATAAATACGTGAAAAACCGGATAGACAGACTCCAATTCCGAGGGTAGGTCTAACTCATATGATACTCGACCAACTCTTCGAATAATCCTATAAGGTCCAATATACCGTGGGCTAAGCTTTTCTTTCTTGCCAAACCTCATCACGCTCTTTATAGGCGATACCTTTAAGAACACCCAATCATCATCCCCGAACTCTAAGCTTTACCTTCTCTACGGCCTACTGAATCAAGTCTGACCCATGTAATCCAGATTCTCTAACATCAAACCACCTATAGGAGATCTTCACTTATGCCCATATAAAGCCTCGTATGGAGCCATTTGGATACTGGAGTGGTAACTGTTATTATATTCAAACTCGATAAGAGGTAGATGTTCATCCCAACTTCTTTTAAAATCCAACACATATGCTGGTAACATATCCTCGAGCATCTGAATTGTGCGCTTGGCTTGTCCATCAGTATGTGGATGAAAAGTTATGTTGAGATTCACCTGAGTCCCTAGACCTCTCTGAAATGACCTCCAGAAATGTGTTGTAAACTGGGCCCCACGGTCAGATATAATAGATACTGGTACTCCGTATAGCCACACTATATCCTTAATATATAACTTCGCATAATCTTTAGTTGTATATGCAGTTCTGACCGGTAGGAAATGAGCTGATTTCTTGAGCCTATCGACTATCAACCATATAGAATCGAATTTATGATGAGAACTGGGCAAACCAATGACGAAGTCCATGTTTATCGCCTCCCATTTCCACGTCGGGATCTCTATAGACTGCATTAGCCCTCCGGGTTTCTGGTGCTCTACCTTCACCTGCTGGCAACTAGGACACTGGGAAACAAACTCAACAATGTTCTTCTTCA